AGGAGTAAAACAACATGATTTCAAAGACACATAAAATGCATTTTTAAAAATTCAGAACCCACTCATGATAAAAACCATCAGTCAAATAGGAAGGTAAAAAAACTTTCTCAACCTATGGAGGACATCTTTGGGAGTCAATAGCTAATATCGTAACTAATACTGAAACAGTAAGCATGTTACTTCTTAAACAGGAATGAAACCAAGATGTTAATTCCCATCACTTCTATTCTATTTTATCAGATGTCCCAGCCAGAGCAATAAGGCAAGGAAAAAAAAGAAGAGAAGAGAAGCTGAGTGCAGTGGCTGATGCCTGTAATCCCAGAACTTTGAGAGGCAGAGGAAAGAGAATTGTCTGAGTCCGGGGTTTCAACATCAGTCTGAGCAACTTGGTGAGACCTCGTCTCTACAATAAATCAAAAAATTAGCCGGGTGTCATGGCACATACCTGTGGTTCCAGCTACTTGGAAAGCTGAAGCAAAATGCTCACCTGAGCCCAAAATGTCAAGGTTGCGATGGTCATGAGCGTGCCACTGCACTCCAGACTGGGCGACAGAGTGAGAGTCCAACTCAAAAAACAAAAGGCAAAAAAAGAACGAAGCTGGAGGAAAGAAGGAAGAACAAAGCTGGAAGACTTATACTAACTGACTTCAGAAATCCTAACAGTGTGACACTGGCATAATGATGGACAAATAAATCAATGTAACGGAATATAGAAATAGAAACAGAGAAATCCCAGAAATAAATTCACACTTACATGGTCATGAGATTTTTGAGAAAAGTACCAAAATAATCTAATAGAAAAGAAAAATATTTTCAGCAAACGGTGCTAAAGTAATTGGAATCCATAAAAAAACAAAAATAAACCTCAACCTTCCCCCCCAGACTTCATATCATTCACACTTATTAAATCAAGATGGATCACAGAACTAAATGTAAAAATTAAATGTATACCACTGGCCAGGCGTGATAGCTCACATCTGTAATTCTAGCACTTTGGGAAGCCAAGGTGGGAGGTGTGCTTGAGGCCAGGAGTTCAAGACCAGTCTGGGAAATAAAGTAAGACCCTGTACACAAAATTTTAAAAATTAGCTTATGGTAGCACACACCTGTAGTTCCAGCTACTTGGAAGCCTGAGGCGAAAGGATCACCTAAACCCAGCAGGTCAAGGTTGCAGTGGCTGTGAGCATGCCACTGCACTTCAGCCTGGGCCACAGAATGAGAGGCAACCAAAAAAAAAAAAAAAAATTACCTGAGTGTGGTGGCACACTCCTGTAGTCCTAGCTACTTGGAAGGCTAAGGCAGGAGGATTCCTTGAGCTCAGGATTAGAGGCTGTAGTGAGCTATGATGGCACCACTGCACTCCAGCCTGGGCACAGAGTGAGACTCTCTAAACAATAAATAAATAAAATTTAAATAAGTAAATAAAATCTATAAAACTTTCAGAATAAAACATAGGAGAAAGCTGGGTGTGGTGGCTCAAGCCTGTAATCCCAGCACTTTGGGAGGCCAAGGTGAGAGGATTACCTGAGCTCAGAGGTTTGAGACCAGCCTGAGCAACATGGCAAGACCTCATCTCTACAACATATCAAAAAATTAGCCAAGCATGGTGACGTGTGCCAGCTACTTGGAAGGTTGAGGCTTAAGGATTACCTGAGCCCACCAGGTTGAGGCTGCGGTGGCCGTGAGAATGCCACTGCACTCCAGCCTGGGAGACAGAGTGAGACTCAAACTCAAAAAAAAAGGGAAAAAATCTTTATGATTTGAGGGAAGGCTTTTTAGAGAGGTCACAGAATAGATTTACATTTATATAACCCATATTAAAAATGTCAAATTTCATTTAATCAACGTTTAAAATGTCTGCTTGTAGCCGGGCTCGTGTGGCTCAGCCTGTAATCCCGCGCCTTTGGGAGACTGAGGTGAGTGGATTGCCTGAGCCCGCAGGTTCGAGACCCGCCTGGGCAGCGAGACCTCATCTCTACAATAAATAAAAAAATCACCCGGGCATGGTAGCACATGCCTGTAATTCCGGCTATTCGGAAGGCTGAGGCGGAAGGCTGAGGCGGAAGGATCGCCAGAGCCCAGCAGGCGAGGCTGCGGTGGCCAGGAGCGGCCACTGCACTCCAGTATGGGTGACAGAGTGAGACTCCAACTCAAAATAAATAAATAAATAAAATAAATAAATAAAATGTCTGCTTGTCTAAAGACACTATTAAGAAAATGAACAGTAATGTCAAAGACTGGAAGATATTATTTATAAAACATATATATGCCAAGCCGGGCTCGGTGGCTCAGCCTGTAATCCCGCGCCTTTGGGAGGCTGAGGTGAGGGGATCGCCTGAGCCCGTGGGTTCGAGACCCGCCTGGGCAACTTGGCGAGATCTCATCTCTACAATAAATCAAAAAATTAGCCGGTCGTGGTAGCGCGCGCCTGTAATTCCAGCTACTCAGAAGGCTGAGGCGGAATGATTGCCGGAGCCCAGCAGGCGAGGCTGCGGTGGCCGGGAGCGGCCACTGCACTCCAGTCTGAGTGACAGAGTGAGACTCCAACTCAAAAAAAAAAAACATATATATGCCAAAAAACTGGTATGTAGGACAACAAACAACTCCAACTCTGTAATAAAGACAAATCAATTTTTTTAAATTCTCAAAAATGTAAATAAACACTTCACGCCGGGCTCAGTGGCTCAGCCTGTAATTCCACTCTTTGGGAGGCCGAGGGGAGTGGGTTGACTGAGCCTGCGGGTTTGAGACCCGCCTGGGCAACTTGGCGAGACCTCATCTCTACAATAAAAATCAAAAAATTAGCCGGGCGTGGTAGCGCGTGCCTGTAGTTCTAGCTACTTGGAAGGCTGAGGCAGAAGGATCGCCGGAGCCCAGCAGCTCAAGGCTGCGGTGGCCGGGAGTAGCCACTGCACTCCAGTCTGGGCGACAGAGTGAGACTCCAACTCAAAACACACACACACACACAAAAAACACTTCACAAAGGAAGTATACAAATGGCTAAAAAGCACATTACAATGTTCAACATCACTAGTCATCAGTGAAATACAAGTCAAAATCTCAGTGAGATATCACTAAGCATCTACATAAACAAGTAATGCTACAACACTGACAACACAAATGTTAGCAAAAATGTAAAGCAACCAGAACTCTCATATATTATTGGCAATAAACTGGGAAAAATCTAGCAGTTTCTTATAAAACTAAACATATACCTATGTATACTTATAATCCAGAATTTCACTCTTAGGTATTTACCTGAGAAATGAAAACTAATGTTTACAACAAGATTTGTACACAGTCAGGCATGGTAACTCATGCCTGTAATCCCAACACTTTGGGAGGCGGAGGCGAGAGAACTGCCAGAGCCCAGGGGTTCAAGACTAGTCCGGGCAACTTGGCAAGACTTCACCTCTACAATAAATCAAAAAATTAGCCAGACGCGATGGCACATGCCTACAGTTCCAGCTACTCGGAAGGCTGAAGCAGAAGGATTGCCTGAGCCCAGCAGGTCAAGGCTGTGATGGCTGTAAATGTGCCATTGCACTCCAGCCTGGGCAACAGAGTGAGACTCCGACTCAGAAAAAAATAAAATAAAGATTTGTACACAATGTTCTAGAAGTGTATTCAAAATAGCCAAAAACTGAAAAGAGCCCATATGTTTATCAACAAGAGAATGCATAAACTGAAATACAGTCAGAAAATAGAATGGTACTCGGCAATAAAAAGAACAAGCTATTGATACACATAGCAATGCAGATGAACCTCAAAAACATTATGCTGAACAAAAGATGCCTTATTCAAATAAGTTCACACTGTATAATTTCCATTTACATGTCCTACTTGTGTAGGATAGGCAAGACTAATCTATGGTAGAAACAAAATCAAGACGGTGGTTGCCTGAGGTTGAAGGAACAAAAGGCATGAAAGAACTTTCTGGGAGGGTAGTAATGTTCTATGGTTTCAGAAGGGTTCAGTTACGCAGGTATATGCATTTTTCAAAACTCATCAGATGGTACCCTTCAACTTATACATTTCATTGTATGTAAATTTTAAACCCCCAAAATATATATTTATAAATCCTGAGCTCCAGTTAATGTTAAAAAAGTAGAAATAGTCAGAAGTATACTGATGTCTGCAATATACTTTGAAGTACAGCAAAAAATTAAGATGGATTAATAAATAGATAAAGGGTTGGATAGATGGAAATGTGATAAAATGAATACAATAAATGATTACAGACCCTAGATGATGTACATATGTATATACACCAAATAATTCCAGTTTCCTGTACTTCTGAATGCTTTTAAAATAAAATGTTGGGAACATTTTTTTAAATTATGAGTTACTGCATGGATGGTGTACACCAGATCAGCAATATCAAAAGTTACTACAACCACCATTAACTAAGTGGTTACTATGTGCAATGTACTTACAATGGGTACTTACATGTTATGTCTAACCCCCACATTAATACTACAAAGCAAGTAATATTATCTCCATTTTCCTGATGAGGGAACTGATAACACAAAAAGGCTAAGGAACTTGTTCCAGCTTCATATAGCTACTAAATGGCACAGGGAGAACTGTAAACCCAAGTGTGACTTTCCATTATACCACACTGTCTTAACAATTAGTTTCAAGGATCAGGCCAAGAGATAAACTCTCACTAGGCTGCCCAGGCTGGCCCCAAACTCCTAGGCTCATAAGCTCTTCCCACCTCAGTCTCCTAAGTACCAATTATTTTTTATACTGTAATAAAATTTTGTATTATTGACCAGTAGACTTAAGTGGATAATGGCAGAGACTGAAAGCCCATTATACGTCATTCCATTGTAATGGAATAGGCTATAACATGGCTTCTGCTATTCTTGCCTCCTTTCAACAATATTTATATTTATATATTATATAATAAATGTATTTATGCTTATATTATATTTAATGATATGAAACATGAGTGTCACAACCATGACACAAATTTTTCAAACAAAATTCTTTACCTCATTTCTCGTTCTTCATGCTGAGCAATAAGGTTGCTATAAAAATTTTCCAGTGTTACTTTGGTCATTGTCACCCTTTCCTTTGTGTGATTACTCATGGACGAGCAAGGTGTTGAGCCTGTCATTGCCATGGCTGCTAGAAACAAAGAAAAGAAGAGGTATTAATTTTGGAGTTAGAATCTACCTGCTATGCCGTCTCCTACCTTACTGGTATGAATATAGATTGGTACAATTTTTCTAGAGGATGAATAGATAATATGTAACAAAAGCCAGACAAACAGAATACTTGGTGAAAATAAGTAGATATTAATGTCCTGTGACCCTGAAATCTCAACTTAGGTACAAAGGCTAAAGAAACTGTAATACAGATTCTTAAGGGGACATACAGGATATGAATTAAAGAGAGGATGTTCATTATGCCATCATTTGTGCTATGGGGAAGTTGGAGGCAATTCAGTAAGAAAATAAACAAATAAAAGTCTGTGGATGCATAGAAGACACCATACAACAGTCAGAAGCAACTCTACCTATACCTATAAGCCACATGAATGTATCTTTAAAACATGGCACTATATTTTAAAGAGGAAGAAAACAAGATCACAATATCACAAGGGTAGGTTAAGAATACAAAGTAAGGCCAGGCACAGTGGCTCACGCCTACAATCTCAGCACTTTGGGAGGCCGAGGTGAGAGAACTGCCTGAGCCTATGAGGTTGAGACCAGCCTGCGCAACCGCGCGTCTACAATAGATCAAAAAATTAACTGGGTGTGGTGGCACATGCCTGTGGTTTCAGCTACTTGGAAGGCTGAGGTGGAAGGATCACCTGAGCCTAGCAGGTAGAGGGTGCGGTGGCCGTGAGCGTGCCACTGCACTCCAGCCTAGGCAACAGAGACTCCTACTCAACAAAAAAAAAAAAAAAGAGCCGGGCTCAGTGGCTCAGCCTGTAATCCCACGCCTTTGGGAGGCTGAGGTGAGTGGATTGCCTGAGCCCGCGGGTTCAAGACCCACCTGGGCAGCAAGACCTCATCTCTACAATAAATCAAAAAATCAGCCAGGCGTGGTAGCACGCACCTGTAATTTCGGCTACTCGGAAGGCTGAGGCGGAAGGATCACCAGAGCCCAGCAGGTCGAGGCTGCTGTGGCCGGGAGCGGCCACTGTCTCCAGTCTGGGTGACAGAGTGAGACTCCAACTCAAAAAAAATAAAATAAAATAAACAGTATACATACAATACAATTCTTTGCCATCCAAAAGTCTATCTTGAAGAAATCAAAGGCTCATAAAAACTCATACACAAGGGGGTATTGCAAATACAAAGGAAAATTAGAAATAACTTGAATATACAACAATATAGAACTGATTAAATAAAAATAGCCCTACTATAAAATAAAGCACAATTAAAATACGTTCAAATATTTAATGTCTCTAATCCAAGTGAAAAGAACAGATTAAAAAGCAGAAAGTAAGCTGGGCTCAGTGGCTCAGCCTGTGGTCCCGCACTTTGGGAGGCTGAGGTAAATGGATTGCCTGAGCCTGAGGGTTCGAGACCCACCTGGGCAACTTGGCCAGACCTCATCTCTACAATAAATCAAAAAACTTAGCCGGGCATCGTAGCGCGCACCTGTAGTTCCAGCTACTTGGAAGGCTGAGGCGGAAGAATCGCCAGAGCCCAGCAGGTCGAGGCTGCAGTGG